TATCTTGATCAAAGAGAGCTTCAGCATAATTTTACAGTTCAGTGTGTGTTTTTTTTCTCTTGTGCTTTTTAATTTGAACTCATTCTTTATACAGGTATTTTGAAGAACAGCTTGATAACGTTCCATCCTGGATCTCTTAGTGTGCAATTACTCAGAAAACCTTTTATACCTAATTATCAAAGGGCACATGGATTGGGAAGAAAAACTCTCAGACCAGATATTAAGCATCCTAATATTATTGGTCCTTTGAAATTTCTAGCTAAGGGTTAAATGTTCAGTTCTTACAACTTCTGCCATGTAATTAATATGTACATAATGCATGGAAATTCATGTTGTCCTTCCTGAGTTGCTGATATTTAATCTACTGCTCAAGCGTTCACCAACGCTACTATTTTCTCAGGAAAAGGGACACAAAAAAGGTTTTATTGAGTCCATTTTATCAGCTTTTTGACGGGTTTACTAAACCCGACAGAGGATTGCTGTGTCAGCGTGTATCACTTTTAAAAAAATGGGCATTTGGATGAGGTATTTTTGTTTTCCTGGTTATATTTTGCAGCACTGTCAGTTGCTGATTTTTTTCCCTTCTACCACAGATTGTTATAGTATTTAACGTTTATGTGTTCTCTCTCAGTACCAACTGGGGCCATGGCCAAAATTCTGATTGGAAGTGGGTGGTAGGGTTGGAAACTATATATATGATGGCTGAACAGCTGAGATAATTTATGTTTTTGAGGCAATAATCATGAATAATGCAAATCTAGCTATTAAAATAGAATGAAGGGATGACATCTTACTGGGTGGGAATTTTAAGGTAAAGCTATAGTTTTAGAGTTATAATAATGGTACCTATGGCTAGGCGTCAACATTGTTACTCACTGCGTACTCAATTTGAGGCCAAAAACGTAATATCTTTAATTTGACCCCAAGGAACATTTGGCAGGGAATTCATCTGGTGGGGTTTCCTCAGAGAAGTCTCCCCCTCCCTGGCTCCCCTACATTGGATCAGGTGGTCCTCTGAGAGCTCCCACAGCCCTCTGTATGTCTCCATCATTAGCAGTTATTATGACTCATTGACATCTTAACCTATTTCACAAGAATATTAACTTGATGAGGCAGAGACTACATTTACTTTAGTTACTGTTGAATTCCTAGTACTGTGCACGCTGTAGGTATGTTAGTTAGTAGGCTTTCAGCAGCAGCTTTCAGCATTTCAGTAGGGAAATCCAACTGAAACAGGCTTAACCATAAAAGATAACTAATTGCTCAATATCTGGAAAGTTCCTTTGTACACGGTTTCAGGCAGGACTGGATCTAAATACCCAAAGGTGTATGTTGTCTCTGTCTCTTGAAGCTTTTTTCCTTAGTGCTGGTGTTAATTTCAGGGAACTTCTTCCTTTTGGGCATCAACATGGCCACCAGCAAACCCCTTTTTGAACCACCAAAAAGGTCGTATAATAACAATTCTCTGGAAAGGAGTCTTTGCCTTCCCGAAGCTCCAACCACATTCTGCCAGTGGCCCTTCCAGTGGCTACTACGTTGCTGGTTTTTGCTATGATTGTGGCCTGTTAGTTTTCCTTTTTTTTTTTTTTCCTCTTTTTCAAGTGGTTTCAGCGCAAATCCTAGGCACTCAAGCACTTTACTTCGGTGACACTATTTGGGGTCACACATTCTCCTGAGCCATTCACTATCTTTGGAGGACTAGAAATATAGTGATTGACATGAGCTGTCTACAAGGGATCTGCCAAAGGTGTGGAAACTGAAAGGTTTTGACTAATGACCAGGCTTAGGTAAGAGGAGAGCAGGGGAAGGCATTCTGGCCAGGTAAGCCAAAGGAACAAAGACAAAGAACCATGGCATATGGAGAAGCTGAAGAGGCAAGTAATTGGTGGAAATAGTATTTGAACCCCAGTTTTCCGAAAGAGAATCACACTTAACCTGCCATAGTACCACATTGCTCTCTTATACATGCTATCTTGTGAATGCTATTTTATGCTATTCTTTATACTTTTATATGCTTAAAGCAACTTCAAACACTGGATAGGGTTAGATATCTCTAAACCGTCTGGAGAAAGCAGAAGGAGTTGATGTTTTTAGCACTCCACATATTGGTTGAGCAGATTTTACCCACCTGGGTGATAAAGTGAGGTATAACCCTAAAGTGGCTAAAGCAACAAACGAAAGATGCCAAGTGAAGCAGTGTGATTTCTGAAAATAGAAGGAAGATATATTAATCTACAAAGACAGTGATTTTCCTGAAATAAGTCTCAAAGCAGAAATTAACTAAGGGTCCTTACACAAAGGATATTGAAACAAAGTAGTATGTTATTGTTTAACCCATAGACATTCAAAGATTTGAATGTTATTGGATCATTGGCTATACACAGTGTCCACAAAGGAGGTAAGTGTCAGACAATTCACATTACACTTTCATTAATTGTGTTTCTTGAAACCTCTCACATCCATACTTGCTGATATTCTATCTCTCCTCCCAAAATCACACCCACATAACATTCTTTCATGTTCAAAAGCCAAACATCTGACCTCTCAGACATATGAAATATTACATGATGCCCAATGAGTTTACAAAGAGCACTTTGTCTTGTGTCTTTCCACGTCATCTTCTCTGTTGGAATGTTAAGTGCATGCAAAATAAACACTAAGTAGTTCAGAAGATGATTTATTATTTATTGCCACTAAGACTTACAAAAAGCCTTACTGTGTGTCAGGCTGCAATGCCAAGCACTTTTCAAGTGTAATCTAATTTAATTGACCAGTATTTGTATAGATTAATAATGGTGTGCATAGAGTAGAGGTGATTTATTTAGCTCCCTCCTTGGAATTCACATTAAGAGCAAGGTTATTATTTCCTTATCTCCCTCATGAATTAAAATAAGTGTCCAGGACATTGTTGTGTGTGTTCCCTTCCCCAGACCCATATCATTCATGATCTGTCTGTAACTGTGAACAAAGTGGCTGTGAGTTTCTGTCCCAGCCAGATGTTTCAGGCCATACTCAGAGGCAGACAAATGTGTCCAGTGAAACAGTCACCATTTGTACTAGTGACCTTGTCTCTGGCAGATCAAAGTAGCCTCACTGAGCAGTTAGGAAATGACTGAACTGTTCTTCAGTTGGGGAAGAGGATAGGGGTTCTTTCTCAACATAATGATTTAAGAACCCAACCAACAAATTCTGTTCACATTTTAGTTCCAAGATGTGAAAACAAATACTTAAAGTCTCTAAACCAAAATATTTAGGAAATAAAATGGCAAACAAATTCCCTAATGTGACCAAAACCTGACCAAACTTGGAACACTGAGTTTCCATTTAGTGAATAATTTCTTATACTGAAACAGAGGCTCCCATTTCCCAACTGCCTATGAGACCTCAGGACCATAACTATTCCTAAATTGTGTCTTGTTTTCGTGAGTTCATTGCTGTAAGGTGCTATGGCATGAGTTTTGTCTTAATGTTGTCATTGTAGCCTTAGCTGAAATAATTTCCATCATTCTATTTGGTCAGACGTATTTCTGGTTATGCTCTGTAAATGTTAGACCTTTGAGTATAGAGGCATGCTTGGTAATGTTCATCAAACAAAAGAAGTTAAATAAAGCCCAAAGAATTACCAATCTGGGATTCTTACCTAGAAACATAATGATCCACTTCTATGACTGGCATGCTCCACAGGAAGGGAAAATCACAGAAAATCACTTCTGGCCAGCTGTTGCTTCTGCAGCGTCTTGGCTGTCTCTGGCAGGAGGAAATGCTTTTCCTTCCCTCAGGCAGAAAATAATTTGGAATTTGGGGAAGCATTGAAGAAAAGGTCAAGTCTGACTGGAAAGGGCATAGAAAATAACCGGTGATGCTACTTTTGCTCTTAGGTATTACTGGCTTTTTTATTCTAGAAAGCAACTATAAAAAATTTCCAAAGTTTGCACAGAAGCCTTGGTCCTTATTATTCAAAAGCTCACAGTTTAAGCTATGTGCTGGTAGCCTCAAAGGTCTGCAACAGGTAACAGCATTCAAATTTCTCGGGTAAGGTGAAAGAATAAGTCATAAGTCACTTTGCTAGTGAGTAAGCCTAGATAACTGCCCAGCATCAAGATCTCAATGAGGCTTTGATATCTTTGACTGTTTACTATATTTAGCAACATTTGTGAATTTATTAAAACAACAACAGCAACTTTGCTTTTTTAAGAAACTGACTACCAAATAAAGGTACATGTGGGTCAAACTTGAAAGTTGGGTTATCGGGGGAAGACTATATAAGAGAAAATATATATTTCTTGATGTAATTGAAAAGGAGGAAGTCAACCTATATTCATCAGCTTTAGAATTTGTGATGGTTTCGTTGTGTATCTCCTTCTCAATGTCAGGACAAAAATGTCATTTACTGTGTGTGCTTTGGTAGGTGACGGTCTCATTATGTATTTCCTTCTCAGTGTCAGGACACAAATGCCATTTAATGTGTGTGCTTTGGTACATAGTTTTATTGTAGTGTAAATAGCAACATAGTTAATTAAATAATCACCATTTAGAGGGAACAAAATAAATTTTAAAATGACTTACTCTTCAATTATTCTCATCTTCTGAACACTGACCAAACTGGACACTTGCATCTTTACCCAGCCCTGACACATAGTATACACAGTATTTTCTGGGAATAAATTAAGGGAGAGGAAAAAAAAAACCCAGGGGAGAAAAAGGGAAGAGTCAGTACAGTACAGGTTATAAGGCAACCATGCTTTTAGAGATGAAGAAAGAAGGACAGAGGTGACAGCACTAAAAATGATGATATAAGGATCTCTGAAATTTCTCTTCTCCATAAAAACAATGAAAAAGCTGGCAAAAATGATCAGAACCAACTTTCTCAGACTTTGGAAATTAACCAAGGGCTTGCAGTAACCTGGGGAACATTTGTTCTAAAAAACAAGTGAATCTTCATAAGAAGAGTGAACATTGTTGCATTTTAATGTACTCTATTTCTATCTCCCTCTCTCCAGCTCCACAGTAGCATTGAAAACTAACAGACCACAGGCCGGGCACCGTGGCTCACGCCTGTAATCCCAGCACTCTGGGAGTCCGAGGTGAGTGGATCACAAGGTCAGGAGTTCAAGACCAGCCTGACCAACATGGTGAAACCCCATCTCTACTAAAAATACAAAAGTTAGCTGGGTATGGTGGCACGTGCCTGTAATCCCAGCTACTCAGGAGGCTGAGGCAGGAGAATTGCTTGAACCAGGACCCAGGAGGTGGAGGTTGCAGTGAGCTGAGATCATGCCACTGCACTCTAGCCTGAGCTACAGAGGGATACTCCGTCTCAAAAA